GGGCAGGTATTTGCAAGACCAAATTTGATGACTCTTGAAGGAAAAGCAGGGAAGTCAGGTATTCAGAAAGATGCTTTCATATGCAGAGTAAACAAAAAAATGAGAGAGAAATTCCTCCCCCCTCCCTTGCAGGAATCTTTCAGGTTAAAGGGATGAGTGAATGTGAGATCAGTGTGTGTTCAAAATCCAGCTTGCTTGTGCTTTTTCTTTTGGAAAACGTTCATCAAAAAGAGCATCTACATCCAAGAAAAGCAAAAGCAATTTAGGTATTTTTGAATCTGATGCAGACTTCATCTGTGTCTTTAGACAAGTTTGTGCATCTCTTTACATCTGTTTTTCCCCTTGAAAAATATTGGTGTGCTGTTAGAAACAGCCATCATCATGTTTTTAAACACAGGAAAATGTACATACACACAGTTACTGTTATATTTGCTAACATTTTTGCATGGAACTTCTGTTTAATATTAAATGAAAGATCATGGAAGTTTTATTACTTAGTAATAAAATCAAGTCAGTGAGTCATTCAGTATCTCTTATCATCTATTGCCCTAATATTTGCAATAGATACGATATCAACATTCTGTTAAAATATTTATAAAAGTATGTGTATTTTAGCTACCTCTTGATAGAACGATGAACAGCTCCACTCTTATATACATATATGTTTCTTTAAAAAAAAACACCCCACCAAATTTCTTTTTTAATCATGGGGCTTTATCCAGAGTTGTTTAATAGGGAACATGAAATGCTCGGTCCCTCTTTGATTTCAGGTTTCATTGCTGGCCTCCTGCCAGCAGCAGGGCTGGTACAGAGCATTACTGCATGCCAAGTCTGGAATACAAACAAAAGAGGATCTGCTTAAAAAGTCCTTGTTTTTTCTTGTTTGCTTTTGTTATATCAAAGATTAGAAAGGGGAAAACATGGACATTGTCTGGGTCAAGCTGCACTGCAGCCCAGGGACAGAGCCCTTTCAAAATATTGCTGGGAAGCCTAAATATCCTGCAGATTGTTGCCTGAGTTGCTCGAGCCTGCTACAGTCTTCGGTAAATCCAAGGTTGTTTTTCTGGGGTGACCAGAGATAAGTTGAACATTGAAAGTTGAAAGTTTTTATTTTAAAACTATCTGTTGGCTTCACTGTTCCTGTTTTTCGTCTGCATCTGCTCTGTTTCTCAAGGTTGTGTTGGTACCAGCTCATGGGTCACCCCCTTTGTGGTCGTCAGTAGGTCTGCATTCCTCATAGGGGAGCCACTCTGTGCTGCAGGAAGACCGCTGCTACCTGGGCAATGCCAGGACTATTTCCAGCCTCTTGAGTGATCTCCTTGAGATTATATTCAGTAAAACATGTCTGAATGAGCAGCAGTTTCCAGTAAAGAATGGATGTATACATGGTACCAGAGTTACACCTATGAATCTGGCAAAAGTATTTTTTCCTGTCGTAATCTCTTGTTGTGGGAATTCATTATTAGTAGTTAATATTATTAATTAGGATGGTTTTGCTATCTTTCGAGTACTTTTCTGTGCATAGATATTGAAGCCTTTCTTTTATATGCTCTGGTGAGGTAGTGGGGTGAGGTGCAGGGGACTGAGAAACCTTGGCAATGTCCAAGCCCAAGGGGGACTGGGGCATTTGTCTTGGATATCCCTCTGCAACTTGGTGGTCCTGCGTTTGAAATGCAGCCTGAGTTGTGCGTGATGGAAATACACAGTACTATGGGGATAGCTGCAGAGTTGTAAGGGCTTCAGTGCATTTTGATGCATGTGTCTTAAGCAGTGTTGCTCCTTAGGGCTTACCACTGTCTGCTCATGTCGACATGGCCTGTGAAAGTACATGGGCCTCGCTCTGAACCGAGGGACTCTGCCTCAAAGGGGAGGCCTTTTCTGGATTCAGTTAAGATCGGGAGTTTGTAGCTAATCCGCAGCAGATTAGCTCCAGAATGCCTTTATTTCTGCTCCCAGGCCTTTCCTGTGCTCAGATGATGCAGGTCTTCACTGATGCTCTGTGCTGACAGCCTGAGTTTTCCCATCCCTGTGCCCTTTGGCTGTCTGAGTGCCTGAGCCTGTAAAAGAAGGATAGCTGGAGAATGGGAGCTGAAATGAGCTCGGTGCCAGGAAATTTGCTGTTCTCTTTATTAAGAAGCTTGTGTTCAGGCTGCTGTGTGTGTTTGATGGGGTCATCTACTTGCACTCCGTGAGGTTCTTTTCAACACTAGACTATTCGCTTGAAGTTCTCCAGACTCTAAAAGTTTCTAGAAAACAGCCTCCACCTTTGTGGGCATTGGTGTTTTATCTGCTTGCCTTGGAGTTCACTGTAGTCTCCTTAAGGCAGCTGGAAGAGAAGTCAGTCACTCAGAAGTCATCTTAGATACTTGCTTCTGTTGAAGTATTACCTGATGTAAAATGTCTTCAGGATCATTTTGTCCCTCTTCCACTTCATCATTCTAAGCTGTGTCAAGCTTAGGGCTTAAATTATTTTATTTTTAACAGTTTAGAGTTATTATCCTTGTAAATAAAGCAAGTCTCTTAAAGAAAGCACAAAAAGGCAAGGCCCCCTCTGGAAATACCTAGAGTAACATGAACCAGCATAACACGTGGCTCACACAAGTGCACAGAGAAGTGAGGAATGGTCATTAATGCTGAGCTGAGTATCAGGAAGCTTTGGGAAGGATAAGGGACTAGAGGAGAGGGAAAGACCATCCACCCCTTGGAGGCTGGTGTGTGTGCAAGCACTAATGTGAAGGAGAAGGAGGCAAAGGCAGGACAAATTACAGGACAACTGAACACCTGGGAGGACAGGGAGGATGTGCACAGTAGGCACAGGGAGCTGGAACTCTCCGTGGAACCAGAGGCCGCTCAAGGCAGGGGGAGTGACCACGGCGTGGCAGGAAGAGCAGGGATGTGCCTCAGAGGGACCTGGGGTGTTTGCTGCCAGGCCTGCCCCGGGCTCATGGTGCAGCACCGCCTGCTTGCGCGGCTCCACACCGCAGTACTGCGGAGCTCTTCGCTGTCTTCCATACATTTAATCATCCCCCCAGAATGCTGGTGAGGTTGCACAATGTGCTAGCAACCTGAGGAGGCAGAAGAGCTGTCTTGTGCTGTGGATATGTCGAGAGACTCTGACTTTTATGATCAGCAAGTCCAAGCTAGCACCCTAATCACTGCAACATCCCGATGCTGTAAGATGTCTTCTGGCTGTCGTGTGAACACGACATGTGGAGAGAAACACGGGTGTATTTGCTTACGATGCCTGAGGTAACAAGTTACTCAGTCCTTAAAAGCAGATAAATCTCTTCATTATTGGAGAGCGGACCAAGTGCCTTGTACCTTCCGCTGGCAGTGCCTGGTTTCATAGGTAACTGTTCTCTCTGCTGGAAACTCTGGATGTGCTGGGAGCTCTGGACTAATGAATAACCCCCTCTGTACGTTCTGGGTGTTAATGACTTGAAACGAACCCCTCTGCTCCCATGGCCAGGAGGAGCTTTTTGTCCAGGGTCACTGCCTGCAAGGGCGAGACCCAGGTGCTGGATCTGGCAGTCCCAACGACTGGCTCTGGAAAAGGCCCTGTCCCTTCCTTTTCCCAGGCAGCAGCCCAGGTATGCAGGTGCTCAGGTCATTTGCTCTGTGTGTTCTGCAGGGATTATTGTATATGACAGGAACACATGGTGCCACTGAACTGTGTGCCATGGCCCTGTGAAGGAGAGCCACTTGTGTGTGGTGAGTGAGGCAGTGGCTCCACCAAACCTCATGCTGGATCCTCTTGGTCTCAGAAGAATAATCCCTTCTCAGCAAGCCATCCATTCAGGCTTGAGTCAGCAGCAAGCAACAACTTGCCACTGCTTTAAAATGAAACAAACCAGAAAACCCAACCCACGCCGCCAGTCAGTGCTTGCAGCAAAGTCACTTGCTGGCAAGAAGTTTCTCCTTTTTTTTTTTACCTTCAGCTCAGTATCTTGCCAAGTGCATCTGTAAGGACCACCTAATCACATGCCTGAGTATTTTGTGGAGTTTGAGTCATTCACTGATGCAGCCAGCACAAGGAAATAGGGCTTAATGAAGGTAGTCACTTGCAGAAGCATTTACCATGCATTTGCACAAATGCTTTTGAAGAAATGAGTGGAAATGCAGAGATAGTTTGGGGAAGTTACGTTAAACAAAGGCAGAATTTGACTTTGGAAATGTTTGTCTGACTTCGGGAGGGTAAGATGGGTGCTTGTTCAGCCCACTGATTTTATGGGGAGAGGATGGGGTGGGGATGTAGAAATGGAACCGAAGTTATCTTGCTGTATCTGGCAGCTCTGCCTATATGTTCATGGCCAAGATGACCTCAGGGAGTGGGGAACTGAGTCCCCAGAATGAAGATCCATAAGGATATTTCTTTTTTCTTGTAACTAAATGAGGAGAATATGAGCTTAGGGAGGTAGCAAAATGGATGTTTGCAAAACTCCAGGAGGACCCGCTGAAGCAGCAGTCCTTGCAGCTCTGCCAAACCATTTCCAGCCCTTATCGTCCAGCTCTTAGCACTGTGTTCAGCACAGTTAGAGGACAGTAATAATAACAACGTTAAAGAACCCAGATTTAATTCTGAGCTCTGCTCAGCCAGTTTTGATGTTCATGTGCAGTAATTCAATGCAATTGCAAGGCTGACCCCGAGATAGCAGTATGTCATCTTTCTTCTCCTAATTGCTTTTCTCAGCTGCTCACAGCTGTTATTGTGGCACTTTGCCACGGGCTCCTTAGAGACGATGTGGTTGCAGCACAGGTTTCCCTGCTCGTGGTGTGTCCATGGGAGCAATTTGCCATCCCGAAACTGTTAGCTGTCCTGTTTGTGTTTAATCCAAACGTCCGTGTCCAGGCTGTCGGTGTGACTGCATTGCTGGTGTCTCTCTCTTGGCCTTCTCTTGAAGAGAAACTGGAGATTGTTTAGAGTATACAAGTCAGTATTTTCCACACACTGCAGCCAACCTAATGCCTTTTTTTTTTTTGACTTCATGTTTGTTCTTCAGGAATACATCGATGCTCATCCTGAAACCATTATCCTGGACCCTCTTCCAGCTATTCGGACACTCCTGGACCGCTCCAAGTCCTACGAGCTGATTCGGCAAATAGAGGCCTACATGCAAGGTAGGCCGGTCCCCGGCTCTCCCCGGCGGCCTCCTCTTGTTGTGACCTCTGAGGAAAGAGGCAGCTGTTCCCGGGGACTGGGCACATCGTTGTCATTAGCGGCTTTGAGTCCCCCCTGTTCTGTCTCTCCATGGGAGCCCAAAGACTGAAGCTTTCCTATGCCACAGGGTTGTCCTCTGGAATCCAGTGCTCTTGTTTTTTTAGAGTTATAGAAAGGAGGTTGGGATCTGGTTCAAATATGATGTGGGCTTAATGGGGAGCAGATTTATTACAGTGAGCAGACCCCAACATTTGTCTGGAAAACATATTTTGTGTGTGCTTGTAAATTGATACAATTGTACAAACTTAACAGATTGTTACGGGAATCCTGAAGCCTGAGTTGGGGGAGATTTATGGAAAAAATAAAAATCCCTCCTGGAAAGGACTAAAAGGCATGAAAGTGTGGATGTAGCTAGGATGTTTCAGAAATACTGGAATCCTTTTGCTGTAGCTAATTGCTAGAGAGAAAAATAAAGGTGCTTCTGGCGTTGGCTCTTTACCTGATGCAGACTGTTTAACTGGCAGCAGTGGAGTTGTACACCAATATTTGGAAGGACTCCTTTGGGGCTGAATGGTTCTAGTATCTAACCTTTCACTAAGTTAGGGTCTTTAGTTCCCTTCCCACTGCCCTTGTTGTTGTCCTGATCTGATGTCAGTAGCTTCTGTGCTGATCTAGACACTTCAATATTCTTATGAAGTGAAAGGTTTTTTTCTCTTGCTTACTTTTAAACAAAAGGAGAGAGAGACTGCTAATGCTTGGTATTCATACTCTTGTTTTTGTACATCTTTTCACTGATAGTATGTAATGACAGCTAGTATTCAGCAACTAAAGCACAGCTGTTTCTTGAAATATTTCTTTTGAGATTAAATCTAGAATAGCTCCTGAAGTAACAATACTATGCTTTTTGACTATATTTCCAGGAAAATGCTTTTCTGAACTATGTTTTAGTGTGTTGGTGGTGCTGTTACCATTATGATGGTGTTATACTTGTCTTTATTGGCGAAGGAGCTTGTCGATTTGTATTTTTTAGCTCTGGATTTATAGGCCTACTGCCTGGCCCCAAAGCTGTGTCTTTAGGAGCCTCTCAAATACCTAAAAACAAAAATAAGACAAGTAATTTGCAACACCTCTCCCTTATATATGGAATCTCTTTAGGAGAAAATGTTCAGCTGGTTTTAAAGGATTTTGTTTTGGAATGGCTCTGGCGTGAGGGGATGAGAAGTTCTGAGCAAAACCTGGGCTCTGCAGAAGTGCTTGTTTTTGTGTTCTGACAGTGGAAAGAGTCACAATTTTTTTTGCTATCGATACTAGTATTGTCTCGATGGGAACGATATGCTCACGAGAGTGTACGGTTTTTGCAAGTAATTTGTCTTGCACGCTTTTCAGCCTCTTTGGTCAAACCAATGAGAAAAAGAAGTCCTTAAGGAAGGGAAAAAATAGATTTGCATTCAGTTAAATCTGACACTTTGAAGAGAAGCTGTTGATAAAATTGAGGAATTAAGGAGGGGAAAGTAGTTTTCACTGACTATGGCAGTTAGATGGTCATATCCCCCTCTCTAGCTACTTCTCAGCTTATTTCTATCTCATCATCAAAAATACCATGAGATAAACGTTGAATTTAGCCTTTATATTTAGCAGGGAAAATCTCAAGAGAGCAGAATAATTGGCTAACTTGTTGGCCTGACCTAAGTAGATCAGTTTCTGTATTCCTGCATGTAATGATTTGCAGTGAGAAATTCAGGAGACCAAAAAGGGAGATCCCTATGGACAGCATGGTGCGGTTTGTTTGTTTTGTTTTGTCTTCTCTCCTTGTTTTCTCCTGCCAAAATGGGTATTCTGCTTTGCTACTGTCTTGTGAAACCCCCAAAGTCATAAGCACTTAGGAAACTCAAGCAAGAAGTAATACATGTCTAAATAGAATGAGGAATGAGGTATTAAGAGCTTCCTTTTTTGTTGCTTTTGTTTGTTTGTTTTGGTTGCTGTTGTTCTGGAATTTCAAAATGGAAGTCACTACCAAGAGCAGTAATCCTTAGCTGCAATAGATAGCCTGTTTTTTCACAAGATACAGATTTGATGTGGTGGGTTCAGTTTGGTGCAAGAGGTTATCTGTTCCAAGGCAGTGTCTTGAACTTGAGAGGATTGAGTATTTGCGTGAGGGTATTTAAAGAAGAATTGTATGCTTGGGAAAAACCTTTAAAATGACAATTCAGTGTCTCACTTAGAGGCCTGTTTTAGTGTAGGTGATCATTACCTCTATGTTTGAATTATGGTTTAGAATAAATCCAAGTGTAGCATAGTCTGCCTTTCAGTTTACATTTCATTTCACTTATTCACTTTACATTTCATTTCAACTCTGCAGCTCTTAGAGGGACTGCAGAGCTGGCCATTTGCCTTGGTTTGGCTGAGGGAACAGGCACTGCTCCCCAGGGCGAGCGGCGCTGCCGCCTCCTGCGTGGCGGGGAGGATCCGGTGCGGCCGAGCTGGCTGCGGCACCAACCCAAAGCAGTCTGATTTTCAAAGTAGTTATCATCTAGGTGTCCTCACCTGTCCCTTCAGCAGGGAAATCTCTGTATTTCCTGGGAAAGGAGTTCCCATCTGAAGCATCTAAAACTGGGTATCATATTGAAAGGATGTTCTGTATGGAGTCCAGAGACTAAAAGGTAACACTTCGATCTAGCAGCAGAGGAGTGGGTGGGAAAGATGCCTTGTGGCCACTTGTTGTCTCTGCTGCCACAGTCTGTGGCCACTGAAGGTACCAAGCTGGAGGAGAACTACACAGAAACAGGCAAGAGTTGTACATGTAATTTGGGGCAAAACAGGGAAATGAACTTTCCAGGTCCTAAACTGGCACTATGATCACACCCCATGGCCTGCAGGCAACTAGCAGTTGTTGTGTGAATTGTATTTTTTTTTCCAGATTCCAGTCTTACAAGGAAATGGAGGTCCCATCCAAGAATTTTAGCAAGAGATATGTTAGCATTGATTTTAGTGGATTATTTTTCTGGAAGAAATAGTCTGATCTGGGCTTCGACTTCCTCTTTCCTGTTGTCTGTTATTTTAAGGGCAAGCTCTAAAAGCACTGGTCATTCAGAACCCTTCACTTCTGGGTCTTTTTCAAAAGAATTTAAAAAATAGTTTGCATTCCCAGCTTGTGTCCTGCATAGCTGGCAGCTCTCTCTGAAATAAATCTCTATAAAGTTTTCTTGGCTTAGCAGTGAGTTCTCTCAGCAGTTGTGCTGCTTTGTTTACTTATCTGTGAAGAATGGCTTCTGATATCAAAATGCTCTAGATTGGATACTCTTAATATTCAGGGAAAGCTTGGGAATGTGAATTAATGGAAATTTCATTTTTAATAGGGGATTTTGTGGCTGGAGCCATCTCAGCTGTTTTCAAGCTTTGACCTCTTGGAAAATAACTAAATTTTCTGATGCCATGTTCAAAAGCTGTGATCTTACAGCTGCAGAACTGGAAGATCTGACTTTTTAAATATGCTTAATATAATAGTAGGTAATCACTGCAACTATGCTTGTGGGTCTAGCCTTTTTTTTGCATTGCATTTTTAGTTTAAAGGTTGGAAGTTTTTAAAATTCCCTACATGTCTTACAAGTAATAATCTAAACTGAAAGAATTAAAACCAGAACCAACATAAACATTATTCACTAGTTACTCTATTTAGTATTTGCGTGTATGTCAGCTTCCTTTTCTGTTTCAAGTGACTAACAGGTTTCTTGGATAGTTAAGTTCTGCAGACGCTAAACTTCATTTATTTAGTTGCTTGCATGTGGATTATTTCTCATTATTTTAATACCTTCTTGTTCTCAGATTCTTTAGTAATTCCTGTAGAAAATTCAGACTTGAAACTAAATAGGGTTCCCCTAGAAGACAAGTTTCTTGTGTGAACTAAGTTACAACTTCTGAATTTCCCTCTCTCAAGTCTTTGAAGTACAGGAACTATTCCCTGAGGACAGGAGAGATAATATAAAACCATTTAGCTATGATATTTTCATCCCAGTATGTAACTGAAACTGTTTATGTTTGATTGTTTACTATATTATAAGATGGTACTCTGTTGTGTGCTGCTTTCTGATTTTCAGGAATATCGTGGAATGAAGCAAAGCACCATTATTTTTTTTTCTCTGAATCTTAATTGGATGCTTTCTTCCTTTCTTGCTCGTAATTAAAGAAATACTGCTTGAACAGCTGCCTCTGTCCCCTGTGACCAGCAGTGAGCAGCTCAGCGAGGTGCAGTGCGTAAGGCGCTCGAGTTGGGGCTCTCTGCTAAGCACCAGCTCTAACTTGCTGCATGACCTCAGGTACAGCATGTCAGCCCTGTGCATCTTCCCCTTCCTGATGCTTCTCTGCTTGTCTTTTCCCTTTAGATGTCATATTTTTCAGGCTGGGAACCCCTTCCTCAAGTATTCATACACGTACTCTGATACAGCAAGCTTCTGACGTCAGGCACGTTCCTAGGTGTTGTTTTAATAGGCACTGTAGATCTACTGTGGAGCACAAAACTGAGTATCTGCAATTAGCTGCCAAAGTAGATAGCCTTATTTTTGGTTTTGGTTTTGGAATATGGAACACACATATTTCTGGAGTACTGCAGGCTCAGGGCTTGTCAAAAATAGGCAACCCAGTTAGAGTGCCTGAAAATAGCTTTAGATTTATAACTTTATGCATTCCCCTTTTGAAACTATGGTCGGTCATTACTATCTGGCCTACTTTTCTCAGAAATTTTGGTCAGAGGGGAAGGTGAAGACTGCAGCTCAACTTTGGGCTCATTTTGTCTGTGTTTGAAGCTCCTAATAAGGTAAAAAGAAAATTCATTTTTAATTTAAGGACTCTAGATCATCTTCCCCTGAGGATCACTTGTTAATGCAGGAACACATCCCTGAAGCATCTGAGTGAGAAGCCTGATAGTTAGTGCAAATACCCCTTCAAGCATTTGGATATGAAAGTC